AAAAAGCCCAAAGCTGCTATGGACCTACGGAAGTCGCCGTGGCAGCTTTCAAACGTTCACCGTTCACTCAAAATGAGCTTGTTCAAGGAACCCAATCAACCCGCCAACCCACCAAACAACCAAAGAGAAAATACACTTGTTGTATGTTCCAAACTGTGGTGTAAATCACTGTGGACGGCGAAAATCGCCCTTGCGACAACAGGTGGTTTCGCCTCGAATAAGGGGCTCATCCATTCCAGCCAGTGCAAGGTGAAGTTTGCGCATCCGCAGGAATACAAGGGTCTAAATAACGAAAGGGAAATCACCCAAAGTCATTTTGAGAAGCCCTCAAATGACTATTTTGTTGAGCCAAGATTAACCCACTGGAGCTACAATATGTAAATTACACACAGAGACAAAAGAACATCAAGCAAGGAACACCTTCGTATGGGTCCCCAAGATCACATGTCCTCAAGGCTGTCAAGATGCAGCAGTCTTCATATCCAGATAGTTGCCAGGGATCCATCTTGGACATGGTAGAAGGGTCTGAAGGACCACACATGAAGATGCCATAATCGTGACTTGTCTAATATAGTTTCAGCACCTCCCACAACCCCATCCTAATTGGTTCGGCCCTTGTAGAAAATCGGTTGCAGCCAGCCAATTGCACCATTTTTTCCTCACTTCCTGAGTGGATGGCACAAGCTGTTCGGTTGACGCTAAAATTGGTCCAATCCCAAAAAGTGACTAAAGTCCGAAAATAAACTCAGGGAGTGGGACATATAGGCCGTCAGTTTAAATACAGGAAATCCAAAACAAAAACCACATTTGGAAAAACAAAAAAACACTTCCCCCAAAATAGACACAAACCAGCCTTGTTTTCTCCAATTCTGGCTAAAAACAATAGCCAGAGTTGGAGCTTTTGCAAGGTTTGCCTTGACTTACACCATGTGTTTCACCCCCGGCGCACGGCGCCCACGGTGCCAAGCGCATCGCGCCTCGGCGTCGTTCTCGCGGACTTCGGCGAGGCAAAGTCGCTCAGCGATGCTGCGGAGACGGCGCGGTCGACCAAAGCTGCCTGCGGCTGAGCGAAACCCTCTGTCCGCCTCAATTTGGTCAAGTCGTTGATAAACCAAGGTGGTCCGCCTCAATTCTTGGGAAAGTCGTTGATAACCCCAGGGGTTAGAATCTTGATAACCTTATAACACCATGTAGAACCAACACAAAATTTCGGCGGCCAAGTGACAAGAGAACGTTGAACAATTTCTCTCCGCCTTGAGTTCCCTACAGGCCCCGTGTGCCTTCCAGGGATCCTCACTTCGGCCCGGCCGCACCGCCGGCTCGCGGTCACCAGCGGGATTTGAGGATGCGCATGGAGCTCGGATCGAAGATCCGTGTCCACTTCCCCTGGTAACTTGCAAAAACGTCTAAGGCACAGATGGATTGGGTTTGCACCCATACCAGCAGGGAGTGAGTTTTTCCATTTTCCTGGTAGGTTGCGGGGAAAATTGGACAATTCCAAGGCAAGTGTGGGGAGTCATTGCAACTTTTTTTGAGTGCAAATATATGGATTGGGTTTGCACCCATACCAGCGAGTCATTAGAATCTTAGAAACTGGGCCAAGTGTGGCTGCCAGGAGTTGTGAAAGCATCTGACACCGCTAAACCTGGCCAAAAGTATACACTATCCACGAAGCTCAAAACTAAATGGTACCTTCAGCGACCCTCCAGGCTTAGGTTGGCCAAGAGCACCAAGCTTTTGTTTGAGCTGCGATTGGACAAGCAAAGGTTAAACAGAAGGATACACAAACGACAACAAACAACATATTCCAGCTCCTTGTCCGGGATACACAGAAGACAACATACAACATGCATGGTTCCAGCTCCTTGTCCGCCCGACAATTTGGAAATGCTCTTTATGAGACAAATGGGTCTTCCGCCCCCCTATTGCTTTTTCATCCGGGAGCTTGGCTTCTTTTGGATCTAAAGAGAGGGCCGGGAGAAACGCAAGAATTGCCCACTGGTGTCGGTCTTGCTTGGATAAATAAATAAATATATAAATATAGGGGTCTTAACAAAGCTGAACAAATTCCTGTTGTTTGGCTTCCTTTGAAACTGCACTGAAAAACTGCACACCTGCTTTCTTCGCCCAAGTGATAATTATACGTGGGTTTATAAACCTAATATTAGTTCGGTAAGTTACATGAGCAAATTGAGGTGGCCCAGTTTGAGGTCCTTTCAAAGTGTGACATTTCAAACCTTTGGGTGTGAGCAACACTTGGTTGCTTTCTGCTCCCCTGCTAACAGTTTAACTTTAGTGGTTTAATGGAAAACCCATCAGTTGGCAAAAAGTCAAATAACATCCGAGCAAAATGCACCAAAGAACATACTTAGTCTTTTGCAGCCACTGAAAGTGAGATAGAAACTAAACATCTCGCCAAGAACGCTGATGGCAAAGCGAATCGCCGAATCGCGCCTTCTCCACCGCGGCGTCGGTTTCGGCGCGGTCGGCTTTCGCCACCGCTGAAGCCACTGGGGGCTTCTCCGGGCCTCGTGAGAGGTTGCAAGTCCGAAGCAACAGGTCGCTCCCTCTAGGCTGCATGGAAAAGCATCATATGGGCGGCCGCCTTGAAATTTTAGGAATCGGACCCCGAGAATGGCAGTTGTCCAAAGCGGTTTCCCTCTAACCAACTAAAAAGGGAGTATCCTGAAAAAGAGACACACCCCTTGGTTTCCACTTTTGGAGGTTCCAAAACGACAAATGGCCTGAACAATGGTGGCTTCAACATGTTTAAACAAGAGGCTGCCCCCCACCCTCGAACCTCCCACTTTTACCAGGGGTCCTTAATGAACACATCCCATTAAAGAAAAACAAAACACACACACACACACAACCTTTGCCGGTCAGGGTTGTTAAACTGGCCCCTGCTGGTATCCTTTAAGGGACCCTGCTGGAACGCTCCAAAAACGGCTAAATGGGGGGCATGGGGGACCTTGTAGATCTGAAAAACAAGTCTGGCTTTACCCCCTTTCCAAAAAGGCATGCTTTGACTCCAAACAAGGCTGATGTAGCTGCTAGGGCCTTCTGTTCATACGGCCTACCCTTGCTTGTACAGGGTGAGGGTCATTTTCCTGAAAGGTTGTCCAGTTTCTCAATAAATTTGTTGGAGGATCAGTGGGTCAAGTGCGAGATAACATGTTCTGTCAATTGCCGATTCCCCCTGCAACATGTTCCCAGAACGAACCCAAAAAGAGGGAGTGCCTCAAGAAAAACATCTCTGTCATGCTGGTTTGAGTTCCCTCTTCATCTGGGGAGCATGTAGCGGTTGGTTTGCTAAATTTTGTTCCTGTTCAGGCATGTTTGGCTCGCTTGCTGAGTAAATGGCCCAAAAAAAGTCCAAAACCACTAAAATGGTCTTCCCAAAAAGTTTAAAGTTCATGAACTGAGGAAGTGAGTTGGAGGCTTCAGGCCTTAAAAAAGAGAGAGCCAAGTCGGCGAACTCCACCCCGCCTGGGCTTCTGGGGCTTGCATCCTTCCACTCGGACCGCGCCCGCTCGGGCCGCGCTTCGAAGGCGCGCGCCTCACCTGAAAGGCATGCCACGTGCCGGGGCTTCCAAGGCGTGTCATCGGACGGAGCCCCGTGTTTTTTTCTCCCCCCGTTTTTTTTCTCCTCTGGGTCTTGAAAGTGTGCGACTCGCGACTGTCCGGGGATGCGTCATAGATCCGAAACCCAAACTCTTGTCTAAAAGTCTAGCGGCTGGGATCCAAGCGGGCCCAAACTTCTCCAAGTTCGGGAAAGGGCGCGCCCTCATTTGGTGTTTCTTTGTTGTTGGGGGAAACTCCAAGAGGAACAAAAACGCTGGTCTGGGTTTGCAGAGCTGAGAGAATTTGCCATGGATCCTGACGTGTTGCAAATGGTCCTGGTTTGGAGGATGTTCCTTTTAAAACAAAATCTCAGGTGGGTTCCGTGGTTCGTGGACAAAAGGACGCCTAGGTTTAGCACAGGTCACTGGAATCCCAAAGGCCGAGTTGATAGAATTCGAGGGAACTGAAGGTCATTGGGTACCTGCGAAGGTACCATGGGATTCTTAGACTTGTGCCTTGCTTCGGAGGGTGAGGTGGGCATTGTTGCTTGATCCAACTGTGGAATGGACGTCTCTTGTTCGCAAAAGGGCGGCCCCGTGTGCTGCGCCTAAGAGAGGAGAAACAGGGGATCTATTCGGGCAACGCTTCGTTTCAAGTGGCGCCACACCACTCATCTCTGAAGCCTTGCAGTTTGGTTCAGGAGTGGTTTCCCATTTACGCACAAGACCACCCATTGAGGGCTGCCTGAGGCAAGGGACGAGGTCACCTAAAAAGGGAAGCCAAGTCACCAAATGTCCACCTTGGTTTGGTTTCGACTCCGAGTAAACATGGACACACAAGGGAACGTCAGAATTGCCATTCCCTCACTGTGGCTTGGCCAGAAAAACAACCAAAGTTTGCCACTGAACTGGCCTTCCTAAGAAAACTCAGTTGCCTCCCTAAGGATCCCGACTCTTTTCGGGGCGTCGTTTGGCATTGGGCCCTCAAAGACAGAATGGCGAGGGGCAATAGAAACACGACCCCTCATAGCGAGGGCCCCGGCTGCCCAGGCCACGGTCTGCAAACCCTATCCTTCAAAAAAAATCGCTTTAACCACTAACCATTGGCCCGCACACCGGACTGGCTGCCAAACTTGAAAATACTGAACGGTTATCTCTAATCTTGGCCCACTGTACTCCAAAATATGTGAGCTTGAAACACCATGCCGCTACCGTATTCTCTCCCGAAAGTACAGAGGGGTAGGGTCAAGGGCAACACGGACGGGAACCACTCTGAGACGCAAGAAGAAACACAAGGTGCCCAACCAAATTTGGCAGTTGCTCATAGAATTATCTGTAAGACTGTAAGAGTTAATAAGACAGGGATAACCCAATCCGGGGAATATATATATATATATATATTTCCATGCAACTTCACTGCGCTCGCTTCGCCCGTTTTCGGACCATCGCTCCGCTCTCACTGCGAGTTGAGCACGAACAGCACCGCGTGATCTTGCCTTAGCTAAGCTGCTGAGTTGACCGCCTGGACCCTCCAACTACCCGAAAAAATGCGAAATCACCCCACAATGTTGGTTGGCAATACCCTATGGTTAAGGGTCCCAGGCGGGCAAACAAGTTGCTTTTTGTTGGCCGCTGACGAATGATCCAGACACCCATGCAGCAAAAAGCTTGACGTTCGCCAACTCAGCAGGTAAAGCTTAGGGAAATGCATAGTCGCAATCCGTGATCACAAGAATGTAATGGGAAGCTGCGCTTGATTCCCTCAAGCAAAAAACAGTAGAGCAACTACAAGCTATGGTAAATTAGGGTCACTCCTTGATCTCACTTGTAATGTTTCTGGACACATCCTCAATTAATGGCCATAGACCAACAGGCATATACCTATGTATGTTTGGCTGCATATTGCAGAGTCCCGTAAGAGTACTTGAATGAACCACCGATCATCATCACCTCAACAGGGTTGCATGGATCTTTACACCTGAACATTGCCTTGTAAATGGTGGTTTCCCTTTATTTTGGTGGAAAAAGCAACATGTTTCAAATGGCAACATGTGGTGGTTGTTCTAAATTCCTTTGTCTCGAAACGGCCATTCTTCGCGAATAAAAAAGTTACTTTCGCGAATCTTTCGCGGATTCATCGCCGTGCCGTTTTCATTGCTCAAGTCAGAAAATCGCAGCTTTTAAGTGCCAGCGTAGTGCGCGAAATGCGATTCCCCAACTCCAGCTGTAAAGTCGCAACTTTTCATCACAGGGGTAGTACATGACATGAACCGGCTGGAAAGTCGCAGCTTTTTGTAAGCCGTGCAGCTCTAGCTTAAAGTCGCAAGTTTCCAGTACCAAGCTAGTATACTGACTAGCGCGACGCTCAGAAAGTACCTCCCCTTGCAATCGAAGCCTGCGCTTTCGCGCGGGCTTTCGCGGATCTCTCGCGGAACTTTCGCGAAAAATTACCCACGTTTTAGAGCGGAAAGCCACCGACTAAACACCCACAGGCGCACATACACATGGATAACTAACCAGCCAAGCAGGGTATCAAACTGTAGCCTCACCTGGCTTTATCACTTTATCAGTGCAAAGTCAACAAAGTGTTTTAATCAGATTGGAAGGAAGGCTCAGTAGCAAATATAAATGGTTTCGCATATCATTGATTTACAAGATACAGTTACGCAAAACTTTCGCGAGAAAAAAAGTTACTTTCGCAACTCCATCGCGAATCTTTCGCGGAGCTACCTCAACCAACACCGGTGGTCGCCGAAATCTAAACTCCTTACAAGGACCTTTAGAACGACTCCCATGTATCTTTTAAGGAGCCCTGTCAAAAGCCATGGCTATGCTTGTCCTTCCGCAGACCCACGACATGGAAGACACGGAGACACGTCGAAATTTGTCGAAATGGCTGCGTGACTTCCATTCGAAGACTTGGTTGTAGTTTCAGTCATGAACGAAGTGGTACACGTGCTCCCGCAAAGTGTAAGAAGCAGAGCGTTTCAAGTTAAAGACGAGCGATGGCTGGCAGGGTGCTGCCTTTGGTACTAATACTGTGGATGGACGGAATCCTGCACCACCTAAGAAATAACGGGAAACCATTGTTTGTTGGTATTTACAATGGAATCATCATTCCAGGTCTCTTAGGTGGTGCAGGATTTTGTCCATCCACAGTATGACCCGCCTGTAATCAAGTGTGCCAACCCAAGCCACAAGAAGCACGGATACATTGTAAGCTTTGTGCTGTACGCCAGCCCAAATCGGAACCTATTCCCAGCTAAAGAATTCGCATGGTCTTGGGTAGATCCCTTTGGCATTCAGGCTTTGGATTGCACAAAACTGTCGTTTAGGGTTTAGGGCTTCCCAAGAAAGCAGCACTCAGATATGGAGTTGCTTCTTTTTTTATGAGGCGGTTGTCACGGGATGGAACCCGTAAGAGTCACCGGAAGTGGTCTGAAACCCAGGCAGTCTCCCTGAGGGATTTTTTGATGGTGGCTACGTGACAAATTAAGGGGACCCCAAGAGTCCCCAACAAAGGTACCCTCCGAAATGCACGCAGAACTGTGGCCCTTTCGGCTTGCTACTTCAAAAGCCGTGGCTTGCCATGACCTTGCCAGTCAAGTCTTATGAAAAAACCTGGGCTTGTCTTTTCAAAAACAACACATGGAAATTGTGGGTTTCCTTTCGGTTCCCCTTTAAAACCACCCAAGGGTACTCACTCAACAACAGTCACATACCACCCCTTTGAAGCCCGCGACAAATTATCAAAATTTTGTCAGGGTGCCGCGGGCCTGCCTAAGTGAAGGCAGGAACAACCCCCTACCCTCTTGCACCCGGAAACCTTCCTGGAACTTCCTTGGGGTACGTCAGTTCCAACAGCCCTGCCTTGAGTGTTCTAACAAAAACGTTTAGCAAGTCGAAGGATTCGGACCTTAGGATACGGATCTCATGTCTTTGATCTTGCCTTGCCATACATTTCCCCAACATCAAGCTTTCGGAGCAGGCGAAGAAAGTCAACCACCAAGTCTCATTCTTTTGGCCCAAACCGCTTCTCCCTTTTAGTTTGCCTTGCCAAGCACAGTGGGTCCCAGATATGTAGGTAACCCTTCGTAACGTTCCTGTTGGTTTTAAAGGCCGGCAAGCCCTTGGCCATTCTTCAAAACCAACGTTTTCTTTGTTTATCCAGTATCACTAGCAGGACACCAACCATTTTGGTTTTGACACCCAAATGCTCTGTTGTTCCCATTTTCTATCTGGTCACCAGGAAAACCCCCATGATTTTCTGGTTACAAGGAAGATGTGTGGTTCCGCCGGCGGAAGCGCGCGTCGCCCCGTCGCCCCGTCGCCCTCCCGCGGCGGCTTCCGGCAGAGCCGACGGGCGGCTTTTCGCAACCGGCCACCGCCGGCATCATCGCCCCCGGGCGCACGGGGAAGTCCTCGTTCCGCGCGGCGCCCGCGGAGCACGCGGCGCCCCGGTATCGGGCGGAGCCTCCGGGAGGCTTGGGGTCAAAATTTACGTGGAAAAAGATTCGGGTGAAGGTGTGTTACTTGAATTTCTATTCTTGTGGGCATTTTCGAGGTCCTTCCATTTGCTTGAGCCCACTGGAGAGGAAACAAAACGAAACAGCCAGTGGATTCTCGGGAAAATCACCATAAGCAAAATAGTCTTCAGTAAATGGAAGAAACACATCCAAAGGATAGAGACCTCGAAATTTCTCCAGCCAATACTTCCCATATGTCCAATATCTTTTGGCCCCCCTGAAGTGCACGTTCTATTCCAATATTTCCAGACCAGCGGAGAAAACACTCACTTGTCTTGTTGAAAGAGAAACAGCCTCCACAAAAGAAACCAGTGGCGAATGCTAACACCCGATTAGTAATGGGATAGTCAATAATGCAAAGTTTTTTTCCTTATTATGGTTCGCCCCCATTGTTGATGGGGACCAGAATAATTGAAAGTTTTTTGCCAAGGGGGGGGGGGGGGATTCCAAAAAGTATCCACAAAACCAAAAAAACACAAATTGTTGATGGTGCCCCACTTGCTTTAAAACATTTTAATTGGTTGCTCAAACACAAAACCCAAAGCCAGCTGAAACCTCTGAAATTTGAAAACCATCCCCAGCCCTGAAACTACAAATTCTTTATTAAACCGTGCTGAAAAAAACAATCAGGACAAGGGTACCCCTCACAGACCCCACTGAACCACAACAATGGCATTCTTGGGGGGGACCATATTAGTTGCAAGCCCCCAGGCCCCTCCAAAAAATGAACTGTCAATTGCTCTACTCAAAAGCATTCCCCATTCGTGGCCCACTTACTCAAAAGCATTCCCCTTTCAATTTGTCGCCCACTTGCTTAAACGCATTCCCCTTTCAATTGGTGGCCCACTTGCTTAAAGCATTCCCCTTTCAATTGGTTTCTTTTTAGCTGAAGCCCTCGCTGGCTGAAAGGCACACCCTTTGAATGGTTTCTAAAGTAATTAGTACGCCAAAAAGTATGCCCAGGAAGAAGTGGTTGCAATACTAAAGTAGTGTTCCAAAAAGTCTGCTCAGGAAGAAGTGGTTGCAATACTAAAGTAGAATTCCAAAAAGGAAGTGGCTGCAATACTAAAGTAGAATTGGGCCCCAAAATCCTCCATTGTTTGGACGTCCCAAAAGTGAGCCTACAGAATTCTAGTGCCTCCATTGTTGAGGGGGGGGAGCCCTTTATTAATCAAGTTCCAACTTTTTAGACGAGGAACAAAGCAGCCCTTTTGCAGGCAGTTGTTTTGCAGGTCCTCCCTACCCCCCAAAAAAGGGAGGAAAGCCCCTCCGGAGGAAAAGAACCCCGCAAAAAAACCACGGGCCGAGCATCGGCACGGCAGGTGGGTGACATCAAAGAGCTTCGCGCCGTTGGCCAACTCCCACCTCCCGGAGGGGAAAAAGGGCCATACTTTGAGGCTTATTCTCGAGCAAAGGTTTTACACCATTTGAGTCACAATCAAAACCCGGTACAAAATGGTCTACCCAGAAGCATGTAAGGAATTAACAAGGCGGCCGAAGCCATTTATGGCTGGGATCGTCCTTTACAAAGCTTCATCTACCCGGTTTTGATTGTGGCTCATTTGTAGCTTCAATGGAAGAGCCATTTGCTTCCAAAACACCCAAGGGAAGCAAATGGTCTGAATCCACCATGGGCCCTAATGGGCGCCAGGTTCCGATGACTCATTCGAGGGCTCTGGATCCGCATGATACCCTGGCCGACTTCGACAACCGGAAACCACTTGGCCGCTGGAGTCTGCGGAGTTACAACCCCCCCCCCTTTCTAACCGAATCATTCAGCGGCCAATGAAACCAAGTGCGCTGAAGGAATGGACCTGCAGCCTGTGTCAGGGTGTTGCACGGGGTAGAAATTGGAAGGAACAGAATTCAATTCCACGCCCCTGAAAAATGGGAAAGGGTGAGTGGGGCTGAGGAACATCGGTTCTTTGTTGGTACATGTTAAAGGGCGACCCACACAAACAACCGGGAAGACACGCAGGACTTTCCCGTTTCCTCATGTTAAGGGAAATCCGCCAACGTCACTTATAAA